CATTCACACTTATACTCCATTATTCCTCGTCTTTATCAATGGACATTTATTTTTATGCTGTTTTATCATAAAATTATCTTTGAAATGCCTATATTTCAAATGCCGTCTACAAAAATGGCAGCAAATTTTCGCGGGAATGTGGTTTCTTCATAAATTCAAAAGTTCAAATGATAAATAAAAAATGAGAGTCAAATGTGCAAATTGTTTTGAGAGTTCTTTTTTCGATGTTTTCTTGTTGCCTTTTTTTCTGATTTTTGTTCAGCAAAAGGGGTGGGGTGGCCCCTTGGCCCCCCTAAATCCGCCCCTGTATTCATTCCGTTTCTTTTCATTATTGTAGGACAATTACAGTGGATAGTGTTCGTACTAACTGGTGACAAAAGCTGGCAAGAGGGAGATCTTGCATCGGATAGTGCACTCCAGATACTCTCTTCCATTAACCAGCTGCTAGTGACTGTGGGATTCCCATCAGAGACAGAAAAGATAGCAGTGATGTCATGGCGGGACAGGCCGTACACTACCCATCAAATTAAGCTGAAAAATCTTCTGGCCAGATCTCAATCAGCACATAAAAAGCCAGCCAAGGAAACACCAATAGCTGGAAGAACGACTCGTGATCCAAATCCGAGCTCGGCCCATCGACAACAGCCAAGAAAGGCAGCTAGGGAAGTACCATTAGCAAAGATGACCGAGCCTACTTTTGACCCTGTTCATGGGTATTTAAGATACAGGGCAGAGCTTGAATATGGCCAAGTCGTCAAGGTGCTTGAGTGTTACCCCCCTGATTGGCAACCAGACACAAGAGATCTCCACTTTATAGCTGGGAAGAATATGACTGTGCCTAACGCTCTACTTGAGTTCTGGGCTGACAGCTTGGATGGTCCCACTAAAGGGCCAATCGTGAGAACTCCAAAGAAGAGCTGGGTTAACGTTCCGAGGTTGCCAAGTCTTCCGAAATCATGGGCCCCCTTCTGATTTACAGTATTAGTAAACTCAACCTGTAATATGCGGGATATTGTTTAACAACATAATCAATTACATAACTTAATTAGCTGTGAAGAGAATCAAAGTTGTGCCTAAAAACTATGTGTAATGTTACCAAAATGTCTTAGTAAAAATAAAAGATATTTCAAGATACACTGATTGTGTTGTTTTTATATGTATGTATATATAGATGGTCATCTAAACCTCGATCCCATTCTCTTGAAAAGCCACTTGAGTTCGCTAAGTCTATGACAAACGGGACTATTCCCGTTGGAATTGCTAATCAGGAGGAACCGACCAGGTCTGTTCTTCTAAATAGCTCCTCTTATACGATTGTTTTCCTGGGGATGTGATTTAAAACAAGAATTTTAAATTGAAAAAAAAACCCCTCTAGTTACGGCCTTTAAAGCACTTGAGTATTTAAGAGATACAGT